TAATTCAACTTAATTCAATTTTTCATAAGGATATAAAAATAGCCATGTAAAACATACACTTTATTGGTTTTTTACATAACGAAGCTGCGATTTTTTGCAAAGTTGTACTCGAGCAGGGTGGAAAGAGTATAAGTGTTAAAATCTTAAAAACGGTGAGGTATACGAACGGTTTTTTCAACCAACGCGATTCCTCGCGGTGATTTTATTGCGCTCGATATTTTCGTCATAACAAACAACAAAGATCGCGTAAAAAAAATACGACGATCGAGAGCGCGCGTCGTTAGGAAAATACGATGTCTCCCGCTAAAGCACCGAGTGCACAAAGATTTTTAATTTTTAATGGACGAAATGCAGCTCGCGGTTCTTTCATGCGGGACAAGTACTGTGCACAACATTACACCGTCTAATCACTAGAAGCACAAGTTAGCAAAAGCTTCTCTTTGCTGAAAAACAGTTTACGCTATATATATAGATTGAGGAGAGTAAAGCGCGATGTAGATTAATTTCTCGGAATATTGAAATCGTACAAATAAAATATATAAAGTAACAACTGTACGATTCTCGAGAGAGACATTCAACGCCTGCATCGTTTTTTTCTGAGAGAAATTAATACGTCACACTTTACGCACTCCGTTCCTGTATACCACTAACATTTTTATTTTATGCAATTATAAACGTGCTTATTGTTCTAATCGTAAGGCGTTCAGATTACATTATAGGCAACTATATATCAGAAAATTGTTATACAAACAACTTGTTTTCGTTGTATAAAAAAGAGTTGATTGCGCAAAATGGCAATAAGAAATTAGTGTTGAATGCGGATGCTGTATGAAAAAAAGAGCGAGAATAATTATGATAAAAATATTACTAAAAGTAAAATTTTTAAAAGTCTGAAAGAAGGTGTACAAATTGATGAGCGAATACTTTATGAGTATAGCAATATTTATATGAATATATTGATAAAAACCGTACGGACGATTTTTAAAAACTATCTAATTCTAGTCTACAGCGCTCGTGGTGATATTATCTGCCGTATTGCTTTGTAACATATTTGAGACTAATTCCTGAGTCGTTTGCTGTGTATTGGCGAGAATATCAGCCGAGAGAATCAGTAAGAACGTTACATTTCGTCTTTTTTTATCAACATTTTTTAGATATGGATGGATATCTATATATTATAGGTTTATTCGTTTCATATCTCTTATTTTCTTAGCGGACTCGTTTAGTAAATTGCGGTAAATAAATAAAATACAGAAGAATATCAATTAGCAAATTGGCATCAATTAGCAAATTGGCAGTGATTCTACAAAGCGTCGATCGATCAATTGTACGCTCTAATCAAATCTTTTTTTACTTTTTGATGAACTCACGTTCCTTCGGTTGGAACAATGAATATTGATGCGAACGAGATAAATTATACGAAATAGGCACCTGGCGATGGTCGCCTTCGAGGTGGTCATTTCTGGACTCAACTTCCTCAAGAGTATCATCTACAGTCGCTCCAATTTGCGATCCTTTTCGAGGTTTCAGAAGCTTTCAATTCCTAGGCACGAAGAATATCCTAAATCTCGGATATTCATACTTTTGGAATCTAGCAAGTTCCTAGCGGGAGATTAAACACTCGAGATTTATTAAGTTGGTGCAAACAGTTTGTTGTATTTGCTAAGTAAAGTTATAAAGACGAAATCACACCGTTTTTTAAGAAACGTCTGAAAATATGTCTCGTAGAGGATTAAAGCCCGACTTGATCGTGGAACAAATCTATTGCGCCAACTTGATACATCCATCAAAAAGAGTGTTACCCGAAAGGAACGCGGAGCATCGAAATGTCGTGACTCTCAGAAACGACCTTAGACCTCGAAGGCTTCCCACTGCTACGCTATCATGGCAGCGATTGGGCTGAAGCGCATGATTTTACTGAGGAGGATCCAGGCTACCGACGCGAGGGCACAGAGGGTGACCCCACCCCATCCCAGGTCCATGCTCCACGCGGTGGTGACTCGCCTGGCCTTGAGGATGCTGCGAAGAACGGGCATGCCGATCACGCCGTCCTCAGGCCCGTCCGTTATGGGTTTGGTCCCGCGGTCCTGGGCCCTCTTGAAGTGGATGATTGTGAGCGTGAACAGCGCGAATGTTGCTGGAATGAGAGACCAGCGATTCCTAGATTATTCGTTGCTTAACACTTCGGTAGCTATGTCACATGTACATGACAGACCTATTTCTTTCTCCCGCGTCTTAGCAACGTCGTACTTGAAATCTCGGTAGATCGCTAGTTTATATGATTAGTAGATAATTTTACCTGCAAGGAGGTACATCACTCCTGTCACGAGGACGGCCGATATCTGATGCCTGCACAGTCCGAAAAATCCTATAAGTGCAGCGCATCCTAAAATGATCAGGCACACCAGGGAGCACGAGATGCTTAGATTTTGCATTCCTGAAACAGAATATTGGAACGATTAACCAAACGAGATTCTTGATACATATAATTCATAGGAAATATAATGATTTATTTCATTGAAGAATAAAACAATTCGTTGTAGGATAAATTCAATGTTGAACTTAAATGTTATTTTCTATTTACTTACGATTTTGCCAAACTCCGCGCGTTTCCTCGTGCACTTCACTCGGTGTCAAGTGATTGACGCATCTCTTTTGCGGGAAACCCACCTGACTTAACAGCTGTAACTCTTCCTCTAAAAGAACACGATTTGTCGATTTAATCTTTGCTTCTTGCCGTCCAAATAGATAAAATTATATAAAAAAACTAGTTATTTTCAAAATGATCCAGAATCATCGCAGGGAAGCAATCCTTCTTTAATTTATATGCCACTAAGACATCCTTCGATTTGATAGATTTGTAGGAAACTTTAACACCTTGGTCGTGATATAAATGTCACGCGCGAAGGTAGTGCAGGCAGTGCTAGGCACTGCTTAGCGTGTTCAGACCCTATGAACGTAATTCCGGCAAAAATAACTAAGTGAGACAATTACGACCCCGAATTCTTCAAGTACTCTTCAAGGTTGCACCCGTTCGATTAAACGAAAAGGTATATATCGAGCACATCGTTACATCAGGCTACATTTCATTAGACACTTGGGGATAGGCACTTTTCATATTAATCGTG